CGAAGTAAGCATGATTGTTGTGTCTTGGAGGACTGGAGGGAGGGTCTTTACTAATCTAGTTGTACTGTCAGGACTGAAATATGTTCAGAGCTGTTCTTTGGTGCTTTTGAAGCCTGTTCTGGAACACAGCATTTTTCAGCTCAAGAGTCACCTTGCAGTCTACCCAGAAAAGCCACCGCTGGCTGCTTGTGGCCATAGCTTGCCAGCGTATGCAGGTGTGCATACACACCGAAGAGGTATGGCCATGATCCTGGTTCCCTGGGGACTTTCAAATCAGTTGCCTAATTTTCAGAGACTCCCCCCTTTTGAAGCTGAAAGCAGAGATAGGGCCTTGATTTTCCTGGTGTGGACAAGTCATGGCATAGCCTCCAATCCTCTTCTTCATTCCAGAGCATGGAGTGGATGGAGGTGGCCATGAGTGTTGAAAGAAGGCAGAGGCTCCTTACTTCTCCCACCATCACTGAATATAAGTTGGTATGGGTTCCTTTCTATAAGCAGAGGGCATTCTTCAACAGCAGTGAAATGGCTTTCCCTTTGGTATTGAATCAGCCTCATCTCATACACTGCTGGCTATCTTGCTCAAGAGGCTTTCAGCCTTTGAAAGTGATATTTTTATGAAATGCCTCCCTTCTATCACCTTGTGTTAGTGGGGCACCATGGTGGGAGGAGAAGGGGCAATGATGTCAGCATCCTGCTGCTCTAGGTTCCCTTGGTGGGATGCAAAACACTAACCCCAGCATAGACCTGGCCTGCTATCCCTCGGTTCAGAGAAACTGAAACCAGATGTTTAATGTTCAATCATGCTTTTCCAATTGTTCCTGACCCTATCACAGTAATTACTCTCTCTTGAGGGTCATTCAGAGTTCAGCTCTGTGGAGACACTTGTTCTTGATTAAAGGACTAGCTGCTTTCTCAAACATCCTTGTCTAATTGTACTTTGAAAGACATGTCACAGTATTCCAAGGCTTTTCAGTTACCTACTGAGTAGAGGCATCTATAATTGTTCCATTGGTTGCTAAGAGATGAGGGATGTCAACAGCAAGGGCAAGGAAGTAGCAGTTTTCTGGAGAAACAAGTATGCCTGGTAAGAAGTTGTTCACCAGCCCTGAGTGATACCGAAACATAGACAAGAAGGTAGATTAAAGTATCTTGGATATTACATAAATGCTCTTGAACCAACCATGTAAGAAGACACTAAAACTCTGTTTTTCTGATTATACTGATACAAACTGTTGCAATGTTATTGCTAGTCTCCTGCTGCTTGGTATATTCTTTAAATTATCAGCTCCTTTGGTCATCTGGTTATTTGTTTCATTTATATTTTTAAAAAGCACCTCTGATAGAGAAAAATGGTTGAACCCTTTTGAAACAAAAGGAAAAAAGGCAATTTTATTTAATGAACCAGGTCCCCTTTATTCATAAATTGCAAAGCATTTTTTTTTTTTTCCAAGACTTTCTTTCCCAAAATTACTTTGGTTCAAGTCCTGATTTTGTGAGGTTTAAACTGGCAATAGCCAGGCATTCCAAAGGGCAAGTTTTTAGCCATTCAGCACAGCAGAGTGAGGCATGAACTGCATTAAAGAAAGAAGGACTCTCAGCTTCCCTTTTGGAGAATAAATGTTGGTTGCATCTGTTACAAAAAGCCAAAGAGAAATCCTGGCACCAGAGAAACTCCAGGGTCTGACACTGCTGAGCATAGGCCAGCTCTGCTTTCTGCAGTTACTTGTGTTCAACTGAGTGAAGTGCTGCTGACCAAGAAAGAGGACAACATGACATTCACCCATGTGCAACTCCTTCTGGCCATTAAAAAAAGCTGTCAGGCATCCATCAATTCTCTAGATGTGTCTCTGTTTTCTGTAGGAGGGAGCAGAAACACAGAAGAACCAAGGAAGAAAGCAGGGAATTTTGATATTGATGCTCAAGGACCATCAGTGCTCAGGACCCCTACCACCTGGCTAAGTCACTTGGAAGAAAGGCCCCAAGCCAGCTTCTGAGCTGCAAATCCAGCAAACACTTTTGCTTGGATTGACCTGTACCTGGGGAGCAAATTTTAAGTGGGGATCATCAAGTGGCCTTAAGTATCACATTGATAGAATGTCAAAGTGCCCAGTGCACTTTTCTGTGTTTGTGTGTGTCCATATGTGTGTGTTTTAAAAGCAGGGTGCAGCAGACTGGGCACTGCTGCTGGCAATGGGACTGCTCTCCCCTGCCATGCAGTGCTTGTGGCCAGCAAGCTGTAGTGTTTGAGACCTCTGCCTCTCTGCAACTGAATGTAAACTTTGGCTCTAGGTTCAAAAGTTGGTGCTGTGAGCAGGAGGACAGAGAGTGTTTCTGGAAAGCCTCTCTGCAGCATGTTGGAAGGGGTTGGGAATTATTCATTGGAAAATGTTCCTTTGCCTTGGCTACAGCTTGGGGAAGCTATAGGCAGTGGTTTGATGAGGAAGAAGCTTTTGGTTGAAACTCTGTAGAGACAATACCCCACCTGTGAGGAGCCAGTACATGGGGCACTCCTCAGGGAGAGGGGGAGGAACCCAGGTGGAAGGCTTTGCTTCATAAAACTCAAGACAGAAAATTTTCCACATCTGTGCCTGGGCTGTTGCTTCCCTGGGGGCAAGATGGTCCCTGTCTTGGAGAGATTTTCCTTTTCCGTGTTGAGGCTCTTCCATACTGTGTGAATGAATACCTGCATTGGGGGGAGATGAAGCTTTTGTTCCCAAAAGGTGTCACTGCAGCAAGTCTCCTCTGCTTCTTCAGTCTTCTCTGCTGGAGTGGCTTTGTAGCATCAATTATTCATTGTGCCAGTGACAGACAGGCATGTGAGAAGGAAATGAAGCCCTGGGTGAGGGCTGGACACAGGACAGAGCCAGCTCAATGGGCATGCTGTAGTGAAGTTGAATTAGAGGCAAGAGGGCATGCAGCAGTGTTGTCACGTACCATGCGTGATGTCCACTTGCAGAAGTAACCATGAGATCACCAGGGCTGTACCGAGAGCTGACCTGTTGCCTGCCAGTGTGACTTTAAGCCACACTGAATACCTTAGCTCCTATGAGGTGACCCAGGCAGGGCTAAGCTGGGAGCTGGGGCCCTGCTTGGTGGAAGCCTGAGCTGGCAGGGCCAGCACAGGGGCATGGGAAGAGACCTGGCAGGTACATTGGAGGTACAGTGACTGATTTAGGCCAGAGCCAGCTGTTCCCATTGGCAGCAGTTACTGACAGCTCAAAAGAGAGTCCTCACCTCTGAAGATATTAGGCAAGCTTTAACTTTGAGTTTTAAACTGATCCAGTCTGGATACAAGGCCAATTAGGGAAAAGAGAAATGGGGACAGACTCCTGCAGCCACTAGCAGCTCTGACTTGTGTCCCAGGACCCACATCCCAGTCCCCTCTATGCTGCTTTGGGCTCATGCCCTTCTCTAACTGTAAAAACTACCCCAATGCCCTGTTACTGTTGAATTAATTGCACAGCTTGATGCCAACTGTGGGGATTTTTCCAATGATTACTCTCATGCTGGATGTTGCTAGCATGCAAGTAGTAGCCTTTCCTGCCATTTCATGATGAGGTCTGTCGCAGATATTCAGGCAAAAGACATCACCCTCTCTTAGGGCAACTCCACAAGGCCTTAAATCTCACTGGAGCAAGTTCCCTCATGCTATATTAGGTCTTGTCTTTCCAAATTTAGGATTCCTGTCTGGAGGGGGGAGATAGGCTTGTGGTTACGAGAGGACTGGAAGTGATCTGTCCGGGAAGCCGCCCCTGGTGCAGATGCCTCTGACACCCAGTGGGGCAATTAGTGTAGATGAGGTAACAGCAATGCCGTGGGGGGCTGATATAGGAAATGACACACCGTGTTTTGTGCTGGGGAGCCACGTTTGTAGCTTACAACGCTGTTGTGGTTTTTATTTTCCGCCTGCAGTAGAGGGCAATAAGTGCTAGAATAACCCACGAGGAGGCAGAGCCTGGAAAATCTCCAGCTTCCCGGATCCACGTAGGAAAACATCTTTACCCCCCGTCGGGGGGCCAAGTAGGTAGCACCATGTGCCTGTCCCCTCCCTGAGGGACACGGCTCTGTTCCCACGAGCGCAGCTCTTCTCCCAGAAGGACTCCAGGGGTTCCTGAGACGCTCTCAGCCTCGCAGCACCGACCCTTCCGAACAGAAAGCAGCGCAGCACCAAGCGGGGCGGGCTGTGCCTGCCCAGACAAGCCGACGTGCGGGCGCTCAGCCCGGGAGCTGGAAGAGCCTCGGGCAGGGCTGGGGCGGCACCGGGAGGTGTGTTCGGATCTTCGGCCCGCCCCACCGGCTTTAAAAAAAGAGGCAGGGCGTGATGCTGGAGCAGCGCAGAGC